CCAGAACAATCTGAGCTCAAATACTATCTCCATGCTTAATTAGCTGTGTGTAGATCACTTAAACTTTTTGAGTCTCAATTTTCTCATCTGAAAACGGGTATGATAATATTTACCCACAGTATTAATGTACAGAGTAGAAATAATCTATATAATAGTGACTCATGGAGCTCCTTGCATTCGTGAAATACAGCTGTATAGTGAGTTTGAGGGAATTTGGTGCTGATCAAGAAAAAAGATATGACAGAGAGTGTTGTACAACAGGCTATTTGTTGGGGCCGACTCATTGACAACCATATGCAGGCGTAGTTCCCTACAGCAGGAAGTATTCCAGAGGCATGGGGCTAGGGAGCCACCAGAAGTGGGAGAGAGCATGAAAAACACTGGAGTAAAGGAGAAGTGAAGGAGGGGGGCTTACATATGTCTTCACGATGTCCTCCTGAAGGAAGGCGGGGAGTCTCTGGGTCAGAGAGCTCCAGAGGCAGCAGCTCCTTGTTGCTGTTAGCTGCCGTCAAGTCAGTGATAACTCATAGCAATCCTGTGTACAACAGAAGGAAATGTTGCTTGGTCCTGTGCCAGCCTCACAGTCATTGCTATGTTTGAGCCCATTGTTGCAGCCGCTGTGTCTGTCCATTTTGTTGAGTATCTTCCTTTTTTTTGCTGACCCTCTACTTTACCAAGCAGTACCTTAGGGTACTTAAAACTACAGGGTTTTATCTAAGACTGTCAGCTGTTGGGTGCAGTCTTGTGGGATATGTAAAACAGGCAGGTTTTAAGTGGCTAAAAATCTGCTTATTTGGGCTATTTTTAAAACAATTGAGTGTATGTAAATCTGAGTTTGGCACTGGCAGACTTTTTGGGTGAATGGGCCTCAGTTTGCTATGAAGGAGTAAACAACTTGGGGCCAATACACAGGCCATTTTTGACTCATTTATATAACGAGATATTACGATTTAATGTATAAAATATTACTCTGAAAGGATCATGGGAATTTCTGTATTCTACCTGAGACACATACGACAAAGAATGTATGCTTTTCAGTATCAAAAGTATCAAAATACCTATTGTCTGTTTAAATCATGAATACTTAATTTTTTATTTAATCTCTTATTGTTTTCTGGACATAAGAGTGTGGTTGGGCTATGCCACAGATGCTTAAACTCTCTCTCTTTCTCCTTTTCAGCAAACTTCCTTGATAACATGCTTTTGCGAAGTTCAGGAAAATTAAATGGGGGCACCAAGAAAGAGGATGGTGAGAGTACAGCTCCCACCCCTCGTCCAAAGATCTTGCGTTGTAAGTGCCACCACCATTGTCCAGAAGACTCAGTCAACAATATTTGCAGGTTGGTGATATAAATGATTTAAACCTAGCATTAGAAGAAAGTCACATGTTTTTGAACTGTGGGCTGATGTTCCCAAGAACACATTTTGGTGAATAGTGCCTAACTCCATTAACTCTCAGAGCTGTGCCTATATTAAGAGAAATATTGAATTGTTTTTGCCCTGAAGTGGTGTTCTGGGACTCTTCTTCCTTCCCTCAGTAACACAACACAATTCACCTGCTCCTTATCAGGGAGCAAAGGCAATTATTTTCTTTCAAAAGACCTGGACCCCAAAATAAATTCAATAGCAGGAAGTGGCATGTATGTGTGATTTTCTTTGTTTTAACATTCATGCTGGTAGAGTTATTATTTTGGAAAGCACACCTAAGATGTTAGAATTATTCATAAACTGACTCTGGGAGAGAGTATAGCTTATTTGAATCCACTGAATGTTAGAAAGACATTGCTACAGTACTGGAGAATAAACTCTTCAGTAGGTAATCATGTTTTATAGATGCCTTCTAACACTTGAAACTGGACTACCATATTTTTACGCAAATAATGCACGCTGTCTACATTTGTTTGCCAGCCTCGCCCCACCCCCCAGGTATTTTGGTAAGCACACTATGCTAAGTTTTTTCTACAACAATGTTTTTAAAAAAAAGTGATGTAGTGGCATTTACAAAAATACCTCGGGGTGAGGGATAGGCATGGCTTGGCAAACAAACGTAGTAGGAGCACATTATTTACATTAAAATATGGTATTTGCCTCTTTCCTCCTTACATTTCTTTATTCAACCAGATCTGTTTGTCTGGTCACGATAGGTGGTACAAGTGATTAGTGTGTTTGGCTGCTAAGAGAAAGGTTGGAGGTTTGAATTTACCAAGAGACACCTCAAAAGCAAGTCGTGATCATCTACTTCTGGAAAATCAGCTGTTGAAAACTCTTTGGAGCACAGTTTTAATCTGACACACATGGGGTGGTCGTGAGTTGGAGTCAACGGCAACTGGATTTATAGCTGTATTTAGTTTGTAGGGTAAGGGCACCAGTGAGTAAAGAGGCATAGCCTCATGAAGCCAGAGTATGCTAAACAGAAGTTAACCAGACATGTGTGGATCTTAGGAGTTAAAATGTCAGAGAATCAGAGTTTGCCTTAAGAGAAATCATGGACC